AAACTAGTTTAAAACTATTATTCTCAAAACTTTTTTAAAGGCTATCGTTTTTCCAAATTATTTTCAAAACTATCGTTTTCAAATTGTTTTAAAAACTATCGTTTTCAAATTATTTTCAAAACTATCGTTTTCAAATTGTTTTAAAAACTATAGTTTTCAAATTATTCTCAAAACTATCGTTTTCAAATTGTTTTAAAAACTATCGTTTTCAAATTGTTTTAAAACCTATCGATTTTCAAATAATTTTAATTCTATTTTGCTTGGGTACCTGGAAACCAGGACACTTAAAATTGCAAATTTTGCAATTTGCATTTTTTTTGCATAAATTTAAAATTTTTCGTAGACATGAAGTATTACACTTTTTGAAATGCTTTTGACCTGACTATTTCAAAAATTATGAAATATGTTAACTACAGAAATATTTATAAAAATTGTGCAAAAAAGTGCACAAATTGTGCAAAAAGTTAGCAAAAGTTGTGCAAAAAGTTTGCAAAAATTTGGACAAGCTATTTGCTTTCTCCCTGTCTGAGTTACGATATGAATGTTAATGGAAAATAATAGGTGTTTACAAAACCTGTGTAAAGAATATCATTGCAAAACTACGGAAACATAATCATTGATTGAAACTGATATGGTTTCTAAAAAAATATAATTTTCCATTGTTGAATGAAGAAAAGAACTGTTTGTTGTAATGTTTATTATATTTTGCATCAAAATATTTGCAAAAAAACCATTTATTCCGGATTATTGTTCTCCTGGATTTAAAAGATTGGACACTTTTTAGTGATATTAAAAGCGAATTTAATATCAAGTCTATTTTAGGCAACATGCCAAACAAATTACAATTTTTTCCTGAGATTTGTGAAATAAAGATTTAGGAAAAGTCATAAAAAATTATAGCTTTTAAGCAATATAAAAAAAACTACAGGATTAGGGGTTAAAAACTATTTTTTTTTCAAAACTATCACTTTTCAAATTTTTTAAAAATTATTTCAATTTCTATCGTTTTTCAAAACTATTTTCAGAATTATCGTTCTTCAAAAAACTTTTCAAAACTTTTTTCAAAACTATTATAAAAATATTTTTTTTCAAAACTATTTTCAAATTTTTCGTTTTTCAAAACTATTCAAAAAACTGTACGCTTTTGATTAAAAAAAGTATATAATTTTATAAAACAATTTTTAAAACGATTGTTTTATAAAACTTTTTTTAAAACGCTCACTTTTAAAACTTTTTTTTTAAAACGATTGTTTTTCAAAACTATGTTTAGAGAGAAAGTTTTTCATATTTTTAAACCTTTTTTCCATAAAACTATTTTTTTTTATTTTTCATGAAGAGTGTTATTCGCATTGAAATATTTACGTTTGAAATAATTATTGCTTTTTACATTTTGTAGTCATTCACAAAAAGTTAAATTCAATTTAAAAAAAAAACAAAGTTTCCCATCCCTAGAATATATATTGGTTTATAATGTTTGTGTTTATGTATTCCATGTCAACTAGATAATTAGGGAAAGCATTAGTAGGATTTACAGGATGATTAGTATCAGTATACACACCTATCATGATGGTTCTCTTCAAAACATTTTTTTTTCTCATTTGAAATAAATTCAAGATCGGAAATATTTAAACAAATATGGAAACGATTTCCTTCTTTAAATTGTGGATCTGAAGATAGAGAAAATTTGTATAGTCAAGATTTGAGATTGCTTAAAACTAAAATATTTGCGTTTTATGTTTTAGATTATTAAAAAAAATATATCTACACTGTACAGGATGTCCCAAAAAGTATATCTACACTGTATACAGGATTATTAAAAAAAATATATCTACACTGTACAGGATGTCTCAAAAAAGCTTTTAAATGAATATTGCCGGTCTAATCATGGTTTGATTTTTCATATTTTTGGACATTTTCAAAATTTACATTATCGATCAATGGCTACCAATTAAAGGCCTGTAGAATAAAAACTTAGGAAATTGTTTGAAGTTTGCCACTTTGTTTTGATTGTTTTTCGTTAATTTATTGGGGTCTCAAAGAGAACCCAATAAATTAAGAAACCCAAAGGCTAAACACCAAAAAACCTGTGAAGTAAAATCAATTTGAATTTCCATGATAGAGAAAAATTGTAGCAGTTAATGTTGAGATATGGGGTTGTGGAGATATGTGGGAAAAATTATTCTTATTTCTAATAGTAGGGATGGGGGGAGGACCCCCCTTTACGATTTTTGGACATAATTCAAAAAGATGTAGTCGGAGGCTTTTAAACTAAAACAAGCCCATATAAGATTAGGCTGAGAGTTGGACTTTTTATTTTGCAATTATCTTTGCAAATTTGAAATTGTTTGGTCGAGGGTTTTGTTAAAATGCGTACACCATCGTATTTCGAACAATTTTTGTGTTTTCACAGTTTTGCTTAATAAATGGATTTTGCGATATAAATTTGGATATTTCTTTTTTAATAAATTATTGCAATACAAAAAAGAATTGTCCAAAAATGTATGAAACTAGGATCATAGGACGCTTCGCGCCCATCTTCTATTTCAATTGTAAACATTTTCTCTTTGTATACATTGTAAAACAATAACAAAAGTTTCGCGGATTTTCAAAATTTTCAAAAAATTATTGGACACAAACGGACAGACAGACAGACAGAAAAGCAACACGGCAGTAGGTATATAGGGTTAAAGTTGTTCAAATCACTCTCAAACCTGTTTTAATTGAACGCCAACTTAAATCTTGAAAAACTCAATACAATTTTAAGCGGAATATTTGAGCCACGGTTTAATTTTAAGCCGCCGCTCAAAAACTCTTTAAATTCGGCCTCATGTATTATATATGGTACGAATGCAAACTGATCATATTTAAAACCTCCAAAGCATCTTTTCGAAGTATATTTTTAAAAACTTTATATAGTTAAACTAGTTAATACACAGGCTTCGATATTTCAGTCTGTTTTGGATTAAAACTAGAAGGTTATCTTGCCAATGTTTTTTTTGTTTGTTTGCTCATTTTGACGCTTCATTGATTAGTCTCAATTCACAATTTCCGTATGCCAGAAACAGCGTTTAAAGAGTTTAAAACAAAGTTTTCAATGCTACAATTCTAGATATCACAGATAGCTTTGCCACAAATTCAGATTTTCTAATCCAATTATATATTTGCACCCAAATGTATACCTCAGATATTTTAAACTATGAGCTCTGTTTGATCAAATAATCTAAGTTTGAAATATCTAAGGTGCACACCATCAGGTTTCAAAGATATAGAAAGAAGAAAATTTGAAACAAAGAAGAAACAAAGACTCAATTCCTTTACAATCCGTACACACCTGACAATCCCTGTAAAGAAAAACAAATCTATCAAAGAAGAAGAACTGAATTAATTTCAGTTTTAGATGTTAACAATGTTCTCTGGCTGGATCTGGTTTGGTGTAGTTGTCCTTAAACCACCGGAAACCTTTGCTCAAGAACCCTCCCTCGCAGCCCAAGGTTAGGGTTTCCACGAATCAGTATATTGTATTTCTTGCAAAGTTTCGCGTTTTTGAACATAATTGCCCAATTTTGCGTATCAATACGAAACCAATTTTGCACGAAAGCGGCATGTCCGATTTACAACGGTACCCAATTATATTATAAGCTTTGTCTGATTAGTTATGAGTGATATTGACATGTTTGTATCTTTAAAACAATTTGTTTTCATTAGTGGGTTCTCCGTTAATAAGAAATAAACACTTTTGAAGACAAATATATATAAAACAACATTTTGGACTTGAGAATTAAGGCAGCAGAGACAAAGAAGGAAATTATGAGATTTAAACACTTATCCAACCTTCTGACTTTCTCTTTATTTCCCTGATGAAGTTTTAAAGGGTTCTGTTGTGAATCGTGAATACGTTGACCGTCACTTCACACCAACCTGGTTTCTAATACGTTGACCGTCACTTTACACCAACCTGGTTTCTAATACGTTGACCGTCACTTCACACCAACCTGGTTTCTAATACGTTGACCGTCACTTTACACCAACCTGGTTTCTAATACGTTGACCGTCACTTTACACCAACCTGGTTTCTAATACGTTGACCGTCACTTCACACCAACCTGGTTTCTAATACGTTGACCGTCACTTTACACCAACCTGGTTTCTAATACGTTGACCGCCACTTTACACCAACCTGGTTTCTAATACGTTGACCGTCACTTTACACCAACCTGGTTTCTAATACGTTGACCGCCACTTTACACCAACCTGGTTTCTAATACGTTGACCGTCACTTTACACCAACCTGGTTTCTAATACGTTGACCGTCACTTTACACCAACCTGGTTTCTAATACGTTGACCG